ACAGTCACACCACCACTCTAAAGACTGCCTTGTATGTTAGTGCTTGCCATTATTAATGTTCCATCCCCTGTGACCTCACCGTCCCACTTTCAAAGAAAAACAGTCCTAACTAAATATAAAATTTATTTCAACACAAATTAACAATACTAAAATTTTGTGCCACTAATGATGCAGAAAGTTGCATCACAACTAGTAGAGATGAACTTCACCCTTGGTCACGATGCTGTATGCAGAATCTTAACTTACTTAGTCTCACTGAACTGAGAGCGACTATTTTCAAAGACCTTTCAATACTAGAGATTAGATCTCAAAAAAATCTTCATTTTATGATCTCTCAAATGATCAGCCAATTCCAGTTATTATTACACTACAAAGGACCAACATCTCTCTATCCTGGGATTATCAACAATTTTCTTCAAGGTAGATCTTACCTGTGTAAGTATGAACCTAGTAATGGTCAGTTCTTTTTCATAAGCTTGTTTTATACTTCCTAGCTGATTCAACAGACTACTTGAAGTACAAAAAAGCTGGTCTCATAACTCGATGTGCTAACTTAACTTGAGTTTACCATAGTTTTAATGAAAGATAAACTTGGGAGTAGTCCAAAACACCAGCAGCATCAGCAACAGTTACAGCACGCACCCGCACACGGGCGAACAGACCCAACGAGGGCTCCCCAAAGGTGCTTCCAGCGCCCCAGGCGGGGGAGTGTCCCAGCTGGGACCTGCGCAGCGGTAGCCGATGCCAGAGACTGGAGGGGGAGATCGGGAACGCCCGCAGAACGGCAGTCTCTCTCCCGGGGCTATGCCGGCCGGGAAGGGCTGGGGACCCCGCTGCTCCCCCTCGGTCCCGCACCCCGCCACGTCCCTTAACTCCCCGCCCAGCCAGGCGTCAAAGAAAGGGACGGGACGGAGGTGGGGGCAGAAGCCACTCACCGCGATCATGACTGTGTCGTCTCCCTGGAACTTGGCGACATACTTGTCGCCGCGGTTCACCTCCGACTCGTTGAGGGGTCTGAAGCGACACATCACTTTGATGTTACACTCGGCCGGGTCCGCCATCTTCCCGGCGGCCAGGAGCCGCTCCCCGCCGCTCAGACTCGGAGAGAAGGCGCCTGGGGCTGAGGCTCCGGAGTTGCGAGAGCAGGGCGAGTCCGCGGTCCGCCGAGCAGGGGCGGCGGGGACGGGAACTCCAGACGCCGGCGCCGGCAGCCCTCGCCCCGCGCCTCACTTCCGCTCCATCATGGCGGCGACGGCACTGGGCAGAGCGTCAGAGCGCCTCAGCTTCTCCCTAGCCGGCCTGGGAAGGCTGCGGGGATCGGGAAGATCCTAGGGGCCTGCGAGTGACCCCCTGCTCCCTTCTGTTAAAACTGTAGGCCGGGCCCACCGGGCCCCCAGCTGAGCTGTAAACGCCGGCTCAGGAGCCGGCAGACACCCGACGCCTCCAGAGGCCGCAGACCGGCAACTGGGCGGCAGGCTGGGCGGCGCGGGAGCCGGACTGCGCAGGCGCGGGGAGTGCGGGCTGCCAGGTGACCAATCAGCGCCCGCGCCGCGCCGCGCCGCCGGAGCCACGCCACCGCTCCTCCGCCGCCGCTCGCCCGCTCGGGATCGCAGATTGCTATCTTCGTGGAGTTCCTTCAGTCGGGTGCTTGGGGACAACGACGCCCAAGCTGCCGCGGCGTTACCTAGACTCGCTCAACTTTCTTTTCTTTCGGGAAGAAAGAGTCCAAAGTTACAGTTTAATTCTAATGCCGGATTCCTATAAGGAAGGGTTTGCTTTCTTGGGGGTGGGGGGAGTAGGTAGAGAAAGGGATTTGAATGGAGGGTGGGGCGCGGCTCTGGTCCGAGCCGGTGATCCTTCCTGAGTGAATGGGCCGCGGAGACAGGAGTAAGAAAGAGGAAGTTTCACGTAAACGATGAAGAAAGGTGCGGGGGAAATGTAGAATCTGGTAGGGTGGAGAACCCTTGCGCCCCTTGCCCCAGGGGCTGTAGACCTCGAGGGAACCTGCGCCCTCAGCGCCCCCGATGTTCAGGGAATCGGCGGTCCCAGGCCCGGATAGTAGACTCGGAACTCACCAACCAGATACCCTAGGACTAATTGACCTGTAGCGTAAAAAGCACTCGGAGGTTTTAGATAAGTGTGGATTTTGTGTATAAGAAAGCCACTGCACAATGAACCTCAGTGTGTTCAGAGATGGATACCAAAAAGGTTTCGTTGCATATGGAAATGGTTCTAAAGTGCATCGAAGAACTGCAATGACTACTAGAAACTTTCTGATCCCAAGGTTTTGTCTGAAAAATGAATAATTGGACTGTGAAACAGTTCTTTCCCCCAAGACAAAATTTTTGTTCACATCCTTAAATCTTTTGAACTCCATATTCTACCAGTGTTAATCATCATACATTGATTTTTTTTTTCTCTCAGCTTCCCTGAAGGAAGGAAACAACCAAACCTGACACCTTAATTGACTTTGATTACTGGTCCTCCTCTTAAGAATAAAGACAACCTTAGTTAAAAGTGGTAAACTCAGGGCTGGGGAGATGGCTCAGTGGAATAAGCGCTTCCCTGGCAAGCAGAAGGGCCTGAGTTTAATCCCCGGTTCCGCAAAAAAAAAAAAAAAAAAAGTGGTAAGCTCAAATTTTTGTGGGGGAGGTGTGGTACTAGAGGTTGAGAGAGGGCCTTGGCACTGAGCTATATATTGAGGCCTTTTTTGTTTAAGACAGTCTATGTTGTTAAATTGCCCAGGCAGGGGTTGAATTTGTAATCCTGCCTCGACCCTCCGGAGCGCTGACATTACACGTAAGTACCACCAGAACTGGCTGTAAATTCATTTTCTAATCCATAATATGCTGCTGTGGTAGGGAATGGGCTGAGTGACCTGAACCTTCATTTTAAAGGAAGAATGAATGAAGATGAAGATGACCTGAGGCCTGGTAGAGTCAGGGAAGTGAAAAATTTTAAAAAGTCGGAAGTGTGTGTGGTAAAGGCAGCTCCATAAGTATGGGGGAGAGAGGAAGTGGACAGAAGGGCCACAGGATGAAACTGTGAGACCTTTTAATGTGCAAGAGACTGTTGCCTGTCAACTTTTGTCTCTTCCTTTCTCCTCCACGACAGATTCTGGAAACTCAGGCTTCATGAAAATAAAAGTCAGAAAAGGAAGCATCTGTTAAGAGGCTTCTGCTTTCAGACCCACTATGTATACTTCTGCCAGGCAGGGACACACTAAGATCCTCTCATCACAGAACCAGAGAGGAGAAAAATTCAATGTGAGAAACAAAATCTTTGTCAAAATTATCCTGTCTGGGCTGGGAAGATAGCTTGGTGGTCTAAGTGCCTGCCTGGCAAATGCAGACACCCAGGTTCAATCCCCTGTACCTCAGGTAGTGATGGCCACCAAAACCAGGCATGGTGGCACACACCTGTAATCCCTGTAATCCTAGCACTGGGGAGGTTGACAGGAGATTACTGTGAGTCCAAGCTGTGTAGCGATAACCCTGTACCATATAAATGAATGAAAGATTTAAAAAATTAAAATTATACTGTCTCATGAGTAAGGAATGATGGTATTTGGCGATAATGATTTAAATATTGGGCTGGGGAGGTAGTTTGGCATAAGCACCAGCCTGGCAGATGTAAGGTCCCTAGTTCAATCCCCAGGATCCCTGTTACCACATGCTGTTCTAGCCCTGGAAGCCCAGGGACACTTGTGCTAACAGAAACTGGAGGATCTCTATGAATCTGAACTGTATAGTGAGACCCTGTATCAAAAGAATAAAAATTTAAAAAAATAAATTTCACAGGGAAACAAAAAGAATGATTTACAAACTGGTGAATTTGTTTTTCTTCCAAATATAAAAAAAGATTGTTGTTCAGTGAAAGCAGCTTGTGTGACTATAGTTGGAGATTCATTAGTATAACTTTTACGTATAAAAATGAGTGCTGCCTTTACCTATTCAGTTTAGAACCTCCCTAGCCATGGTATGTCCACTGTACAAATTTGTCTGACAGTCATCCTGTGAACTAAATATTCCTCCTGAGATGCACGCTTCTGTGCAGTCTCAAAACTAAGAGGTATGGCACTGTACAGGCTGAGAACCTTGCAGTTTCCAGGTTGGTTTCTTTATTCTTTCTGAGAGTTCTAACTGCATATAAGATCAGCCACTTTGAGAGTGCCAAGCTGCAAGTGTCTTGTGAGGGCACTCCAGCCAGTTGTCCTTGCCATCTCTACCTAGGGACAATTTCATGATCCACCCTGTATACCAGTGTAAAATCTTGGTTGACACTCCTGGAGTGGAAGAATTACCCGGGTGAGGCCTACCCAGATTCCTGGCCCCCAATATCATGAAATGCAATAAAATGCTTATCATTTGTTCATTGTAAAGTTATGCTCATCTCACCCTGTAGGTCTCCCTCTTATGCCCATCTCGATGCTATAGTTCCTCAAGTCCATTTTTTACAGGTGGCCTTTCAGTGCGGATTTCATAGGTCAGACAGAAAAACCCTAGTGCTATAGTTTAATCCTGTAGAACATATTTTTTAAATATTTTATCAAAACATCATACATTTATACCTTAAAAATAAAATGACATTACAACAATGAAAATTGAACTCCTTGTTCCATCCATTTCAGTTCTCATTTCTTTTTTCTAGAACAACCCCTTTAGCTTTTGGTAGTTTCTTCTGGTATTTATCTTTTACGTTTATAAATAATATTTTACTAACCTTAACTTATTGACCACTTATTAAACGGAGTTATATCTTTTTTTAATGCCTTCTTTTTGAATCAACACACATTTTCTTCTCTTTATTTTCTCTGTGTAGTTCTATTATCATTTTTATTAAGATCAATATGCAATGTTTTGTGGTGCCGGCCCCACCCCCGGGGTGCACTGAGACAGTGATTGAGACTGGGTGTGGTGGCATGCACCTATAATCCCAGCCCTTGGGAGCTGAAAACAGGAGGATCACTATGACTGATGTGTGTAGTGAGACCCTGTACTTAATACATAAAAAAAAAAGTGTGCAGTGTTTATGCTCTAAGACTAAGTGATTGGGGCTGGGGAGATGACTCAGTGGAATAAGCGCTTCCCTGGCAAGTGTAAGGGCCTGAGTTCAATCCCCAGTTACGCCAAAAAAAAAAAAAAAAAAAAAAAAAGACTGAAGTGCTTATTATTCGCGGCTTAGCCATATAGTGCGCTGTGATTACGTTGCACATCTTGTGCAACCTTTTGGTTTTTGTTCAGAAGTTTTAAAATTGCCTTATTTTTTACCCCTGCTGTTTTTTAAAGATTTATTTCAAATATACATCAGAGCATGAAATAAGTCTTCTAGCTCCTGTTTTTGTTGTTCAGATGTCTGATTTGTTTTACATATGGTCTACCTTTTTCTCCCAAGAGCGATCTCTTAGTATCTTTTTCTCTCAATTTCTCTCTTCTTTCCTATTTTTCATCTTTGTATTTTGTCCTCTTCTCAGGGAAATTTAAGCTTATTTTTACTTCTTTTATTGCAGATATATAAAGAGATACTAGAAATATAAGATACAGCTATAGATATTCAAAGAACAGTATTTATTTGATGTGCTAATCTCACCTTGCCGTGTATGTGTGTGTTTGTGAGTGTAAAATTCTATGGATTCTTTAATTCTCTGTTTTTAATGAAATTATTTTATTTCACAGAAAAATGTTTTCTTTTTGGTATTGGGGATTAAACCCAGATCCTGTGCACTGAGTGACATTCGTAGCCCTTTTATATTTTTAATTCAGAGCCAAGGTCTTGTTAAGTTGACAGTCTGGGCTTGAACTTCCAATCTTCTTCTTGTCTCAGCCTCCTAGACTGCCGGGATTACAGGCATGAATTGTCATGTCCAGCAATCTTCTTATCAGTCTAAGGGTATGTGTTTTGTTTTGTTTTGTTTTCACATTTAGTTTTTTTCTGATTTTTGAAATCTGTCACTCATGTTAGAAATGAGAAACTTAACATTTGTGCATGTTAGTAATGTTTAGAGTTTGAAATATTTTTACCATTGTACTTGGGCAGGACCTACTCATTTCATCACAGAAGATCTGTCAAATTTTAAATTTAAATTTTTATTGTTTTTAAATTGACAGATAAAATTGTATTTAGCACATATAGCATTGTATTTTGAAGTATATAAACATTGTGGAATGACTAAATCTAGCCAAGTAATGGAAAGATTACCTCACATAGTGGTCATTTTTACAATGAGAATACTTTATATTCACTCTCAGCATTTTTTCAAGAATGCAATATATTGTTAACTACATATAGCCACCATATTGTACAATACAGCTCTTGAATTCTTCCTATTTAAATGATATTTGTAAACTTGGACTAATAAACCCCCCCATACATACCTCCGTCACCCCAGCCTCTGCTTCTATGAAATCAACTTTTTTTTTTTTTTTAAGATTTTACCTGAGTGAGATCATATGGCCTTTGCCTGCTATTGCCTAACTTATTT